GTAGTGGTTAGTTTGGACTGAATTCTTTGAATCTCATTTTATCAGCAAAAATCTTACGTTCTGGAGGCTCAATTATACCGATGTTCAAACAAAAATCTAGCAATACCATTAGTGGTGGCTAGTAACTTAAAACACAGACGTTTGAAATTCGCTTTCTTCAGTTTCTCGAGTGACTAAATGAAAAGTGTTTATTCAGAACAAAGAAGCGACAGAGGGACAGAGGGAGGCCGTTACTGAGAACTGCAACTGTCACTTGTATAAGTCGATAATCGTCCCTCACTCGCTTTAAGATTTTTCTTTCTTTAATGGTTGTTCTGTTGTCCTATATAGCTTTACCGGCGTCAATGAAACACCTTGGAATCTGGCATAACATTTATTCACGGTTTTTTTTTATTGAAAAGAAAGAAATTGAGCCTATTCTCCGCGGTTAGCCAATCTTTAAATCTTCAAAGCATTTTAGTTCTCCTAGCTATATATTGCTGTCGAACTCAAGCATGTAAACCACTAACAATTAGGAATACAAAGTGTTTTATCACTTGAGAACTGTCCATATGTAGTTATAAAGTCCTCTGAAACAAGTTGCAGTATTTGTATGGATAGTATTAGTGCGAATTTTAATGGTGATACTAAGAAAAGGCAAATTAGTGCTATGCAAGAAAAACAAGTGAACTGGGATTAGAAGGAGGAAAGCTGTTAACATATTAGTGATGACAGATGTCTAGTATTCTCGCGTCAGATTATAGGAGGGTCTGGTTTCATCGTATTAAATTTCTGACCTTAAAACACTTTTTCACGATCAGTATATCAAGGAACTCTACATCTGTATAGTGAAACAACATCTACAAGTAAACTTCGGTGAAATACTGCGACACTCCATTTCAAAATATTGCTGGTATGCTCGCCAACAGGAAGAGGGAAAAGTTAGTTTACCTCATTAATTAGACAATTTGACCCTGGATCTGCGTTTGAAACCTGTGTGGCTTGTCTTAAGTGGTTTAAACATCAAACGACGTCGACCCTATGATGAGATCTTTACCATTCTCAGACGATCAGAAATGACTTCGGAATCTACTCGGAACAACAGAGGGCCGGTACAAAGGCCGTGTGGTAACTGCCGCCCCTCGAAACTTTTAATACTGGTTCTCTTCATGCTCTATGCAATGTGCCAAGTTCAGATTCTTGTTAACAGAGCGGGTTCCCACAATGTTGCACATATTTTGCGCGAAATTCAACTGGCTGACGAACGCATTACAGACGTAGAGTTGTCATTAATCGAAGTGGAGAGCAAATTGGATTTTGTTCTCGCTGATTGGAGTAAAAAGTCTGCTGTCCATAGCAGAACGAAGAGACAGAGTCGTTCTGCGTCTCGTCTCGAAATTCAGCGGTTGAAACGACAATTGAGGCATTTAGAACGCAGGTATGACAATCGAATGTTTGATATTTATTATGCTCTGTTTGGAGATACTTGTAGTTTAATGTTTCCATTGAAAATATAGCCCATCATCTGGACAAATGCTAAACTGGTGGGCTGTTGAAAGCTAACGCACTTCTTGTGCGAGAATAAAGTAAATTTAACCTGAGCTCCTGCTGACATGTAAAATCGATTTTGATTGCAATATATTTCAAGCGATGAAATTTCCTTTTCAGAACATATGCGATGTGTCATTTTAGTTTCTGTGGTTGAGATAAAACTAGATTACTGCAGATTATTGGAAATGATCTCGCTTACTGTGTTGCTGGTTTCTGTAAAATTGTAATCTTTGCAACTGTAGATCTTCTGCAACATTTCATATGCTCGAAACATGTTTTTGGGTATCACAACATTCCAGTACTGGTTAATTTAAACATCTGTCTTCCATACATATCAGAACACCTTGTGTGTTGGACTTTTAAAGTTGCATTTTTTGTTTAAATGCTTTAGTTTTTTTCTCGCGTGCCAAAAGAGAGCTAGCGGGATTTATTATTTGGTTACGATACGGATCAATCTTAACCTTGTTAAAAGGATGATCAAGAAAACACACAAAATCAATTAATTTTAAAGGGAATTGAAATGCTTTAACTGAAACACATTTCTAAGCCTGTTATCAAATTTAGCCGGAGATCAAGTTGATTATTTTTTATTAGAAAAAATGGTGACACCTGAAAATTCCATTAGATTTGAATTTAAGACAGATTTGCACACAGATAGTAAAAAAAAATGTTAATATATGTCATTGTGTTACATCGTTTAAAATTTCCGGCTTTTTAACCACCTTTGAAAGCCGGATACTCGAAGAAAGCTCTTACCTTGAATCTTGACTCGGGGAAAAATTATGGGTTGTATTCATCAAACAAGATCCGCTTTCGTTCCTAGAAACTTAACGATTTTCGGGTGAAAAATCGTGATATTCCATGTTAGTCATTTCCGTTTCTGAAAGATATTTGGCAAAAAAGCAAACTTTTCAGTCTGCTTGCCTTAAAGTGATTTGCGGAACTCATCAAGAATTTTTCTCACTATTCTCCTACATCTCTTGGAACATTCTTTTGAATCTTTAAACGCTTCCAATGATGTCACACCAGATGCTGTCCACGAAGATTACACGTTACAACACAACAAGGAACTTTTCATGATTTGGAGCCGCTCAACTAAAAAAATTTACTTGTATTTCAACTACGGGCCATGGCTATCGAAATTCCTTCCCAGTCTGTTTGGCCGTTGTCCGTTGGCTATTGTATATATCAATCTTGAGCCTGGAGCCATGTCGGATACTCTCAGCGGTGTGTTAGCCGGCCTCTTGAACACAAACACGAAGCCAAAAGTATTTTGGGCTCGAAATCGATCTGGTATGAAGCCTAAAACTTTTTGCAATTATTTTTTTCTCCGTGTCGAATGTCAAGTGTTTGGCTTAGGAAGATATGAAAGATCGTTTGAAAAACAAACAACTCGACAAAGAAACCGGCTAAAATATAAAAAATATAATAATAATAATAATAATAATAATAATAAATTAAAAAACTGTCTCTCTTATGTCCTTATGATGGCACTCTAGCGAAATCTAACAATCTACGACACACAACCAGGAAAGAAGGTTCAGTTTCCTTTACCTTCAGGAATTTATAATGGTTGTTTAATTTTTCTGTTATGAAGTGTTTACGTGTGTTTTCTTCACTGGTTTCAATCCCTTGAGGTATACAATAGTGGATAGCTTCCGGCCGAGGGAGTTCATTAACTGACTGCTCGTCAACATCATTTTCTTCTAAACAAATGTCCATCGCTTTATGCCACAAACCTGCGCTACAAACTGATCAGCGAAGAACAGGTTACTTTTGCCTACCCTTGACAAAAGATGTTGTACAATATTTTTATATAAAATAATACAAAACATAAATTTGGAGGGCAGGAGTTTGGAAATTAGAAGAGGCACTTCATTGTGTTAAACAGACTCTAGATTTTTGTTAGATTTCTGGTGTCTCAAACTAAATCCATATGATTTGACATCACAAAGTGATGCAAAAAAAGGGAAAAAACCTCCAACACGTAAATGAAAAATTTCAAATCAAAGAAATAATATCTGGCTTGGAAGGACAGTTTTTTGGTAAGACTTTTTTGAACCCGAAAAATAGGCAAATTTTAGGGTACAGGCGTGATAATGCCAAAAAACCGCATGGTCAGGAACTTAGAATTAGTTGTTTCCTAAATAGGAATGCCGTATAGTAACTAACGAAATTTAGAGCTATGTCGCCTCGAGACAATGTCTGCTCCATTACTTGCGGCGGTATTATTTACGACAAGTGGTTAATTGGGTTTTATAAATTGAAGATTCAGTGAATGTTTTTATCAGATCAAAATAATGGTGGATGTATCTTTGGCACTGAAAAATCTCTTTTACTGTTTTGCAAGTACAGACAAGGATGTTTTCTCAAACGCGTGCCCTCTTTAATAAGCGGATAAATAAGAACGGGGAACTCTTTGAGATCTTGCAGTTGTTAGACTATGTTTTCCTTAATGACTTTAAATAACGGGGCGGATATTAATTAAAATCATCTCTTCATGTCGCCAGCCGAATCTTTTTAACAATTAGCGGCACCTTTTTTGAAAGCCTGTTCTTTAGAGTAAATAATGATTCCTGATTACTCCGGTTTCCGTACTTTATAAGTATTAAAAGCAGTGCAGTTATTGCCTTTACGCCAGTGGTGACTTATTATCTTAGTGTACACTGAATATCAATCAGTACCTCTTCTCCATACCGAGGCAAATGTCCAGTTTTCGGTGACGTGCTACATAGAAACGATTAATTGCGTGTTTTTGAAATACCACCCGCTAGAGATAAGATAAATGAGAAACCGCATCTTTAGATTATAACCTCGAGTTATTGCATTTAGATGACGCTGAAAACCGCAAACATCCAAAACTTTTCCGCCGAGCCGGCGTCCTAATTTAGAGAGGAGTGGTTTAGCGTTTTAACAAATTTGCTCTGTATTAAAGGTATATCGAAGGTGGAACTGAGAAATTGTTTTATGAAGGTTGATACATAACTTCTCAGATAACACACAAACTGTCTTTGTTGTCTGATATCGGCAAAGTCTTTCCTCGTGCATTTTCTTTAATAACACTTCATCCCTGACGATTAATTCGTCAGTCGTCATTCTGAGGTCAATTTTTGTCATGTTAATACAGTGCGATCGAATTTACAAATTTCAGTAGGAAATTAATAATCTACCTCCGTAAGAAGGCCTCACAGTACGAAAACTAAGGTAAAATCTCCGATTGTGCAGTTTATGAGTTATACCTAAAATGGTTAGTATTTTGGTAATTTTGATGGATATGTCAGTGGTTCTTCCCTCACTAAAACTATCCGAGACAATTTCAAACGTCCATTTATTCCTTGTTACTTCCTTTCGTTGATCTTTTATAACTTCCCGTTCAAAAAAAAAAAGCGAGAAAACGCATGCGCTGAGCTGGAATTCGTATCATTTATTTACCAATTCTATCGATTGTTGAGACGTCCTTGCACAAACAGGCACCACAAGCAACATTTCAAATGAATACTGAAGAATGAAAAACGCGTTGTTAAAGGGCCGACTCCGCGCTACGGGCTCTTATTTCAACATTGCTATGCGTGAATGTCTCGAAACATCACTTGATTCGCCAGGAAGTTTATTAGAAGCAGGTGCATTTGACATCTCAAGCGTGACTGCATCTTGATTTGTTCAGCATTGAGATAATGAAGTACACAATTGGACATTTTTTATCGACGGCATTGATCTTTCTCAGACATTTTTAAGTCCACTCTCGCTCAGTGCACGAGAGCAAGCCCATGTTGTTTGTCGCCAAACACAGATGTGGGCGAGATAAACTACTGAAGGCGTTCAGAACCTATTCGCGATATGATTAAGTGAGTTGAGAAGTTTACGATGAAGACTGAAGAGTCGAAGTTAAAAGCATCCTTTACCAAGGATATATCTGCTAATTCAGGGACAACATCGTCTAATTGCACCGTAAAAAAAGTTCCTTTACTTGTTCACAGCAGCGGTCTAAATACGCCGAACAGATCTTATGTTTATCAGCCTAAGGTTCCTAAACCAAAGGCCGAACAATCCAGTTGTACAAGTCTGAAAAATCCCTGGATTGTTAGGAGTGCTGTAGCGTTTGTTGTGGTCATCGTCATTGTAATATTCGCATCTCTGCAAGGAAAAACTAGCACTGATTTGGAAAACGCAAAGTCCAGAGTCCAAAAGCTTGAATCCATGGTCGAATCTCTACGAGAAAATATTCTGATTCTGGAGATGAGGTAAGAATTGTCTTGAGTTGTTTGGAGGACAGTGGCGTTTGTGAACTCGAAAACAGATGTAAATTTTGAAATTATGTTTGAGCTTGTAAAAATTCCTGTTTCAAGACTTCCGCAGTGTTTGTGGCAGATGACAGCTCAATATCTAGCCTACCGTGTATGGATGCGTTTGATCATTTTGGTTACATGTTTTAATAGGCAGAAATGGGATTTCTTGCATGTAATTTACTGCAATAAAAAGCGTTTATCGGAGAATGTTCTTCTTCGCAGTGGGTGTTCTAGACATTAACATAGCACTGCGGTCAAACTTTGCCACTACAATATTACTTCTGTTTTGTTATCAGCGCAATGGTTAGACTAGGGCAGTAGTTCAACCTTACTCGCACATTTCAACTCACTTGAGCAATTTTTTTCAGAACGAACCTTGAGAAATGAGCGTAAAGAAGTTTAATTCTTCTGGCGAGAATTTGTGGTTGTTTGAAAACTATACGATCTTCCCCTACACAAAGCAATCATTTCATTCAGCAGTCGTTTTGATTGATTCTCAGCGGGGTTTTGAGCAATTTTCTGAGTTAACAGGGTTCCAGTGACACACAGCGGAAGGTTATGTCCATTAACCACCATGTTTTAGATTCAGGGCGCTTAGTCACGTTCTTGTAAGGCGCGATAGCCGAGTACCATGTGGTTGTTATTTCACCTCGCTACCTGTTCATTAATGAAATTTTTATGACTTCATCAGCGGTTTTGTGTGACTCTGTTTACAAGTCTAATTGTAAAGTGACAGCTTTTAAAATTCGAAGTTGACAGTATTTTAGCTCACAAGACGCCATAGCGATTTCGTGAATTTTTGCTTAATTCTTCTCCGAAGAAAAAAAATAACAAAACGGATTTATTTTTCTCGAAAGAAAGGGAAAAAAACACCAAAAGTCTTTAGGGTTATTAATGAGTTTTTTCATTATTCGAAAACCTATTATTTTCAATTAAACCTTTTAGCTGGTCGTAAAATGACCGACATTTTTATTCGGTTAGAATAGAAATGGAAATCCTGATGGAAATGCGCAGCAATTAATTACTACGTCCCATTGTGTTAGGAGATTATTTGTAACACTTAGTCCATTGAGCAAATAGAATGTTCTCGGACAGGTGTTTTACAATCCGTAACTTCAAAATCCCTTTAAGGCTTATGAATAACTAATATATTGTGATAGCCGAAATTTGAAAAAAACGAGTGGGCAGTATTTCTTATCGTTTAAAATGCTACCAAATGGTCTTAGGTGTGAAATTGGAGCAGTTGTGGTAATAATCTGAAGACTTCCTTAGCTTGGGAACAGATTAATTTGCATTTGTTTTTAATCAAGTGGAATTTTAACGACTGCGTGAGCAGCGAGCCACCATCTTATTCGCTCTTAATGTAAGAATGGTGTAGTTCTTGTATAGGACTTTTAAGTGTATCGTTTCCTTTTAGAATTTTGGATTACATCTCCCCTAGGGAAAGAGGCCAGTAATTTTCGAGAAAACGTTTTTTTCTAATTTTTTTTCCAAGGAAAATTGAATTTTTAAAAACGTGTGTTACATAGAAAAATTACCGTCAGGTTTAGAGAGACCCAGTGTGTTAATCGCTTACTCGTATTTGTCACGTATATTTCTTATTATTTGGCTGCCATTTTGTCAATTTGGTTTTGAAAACAACCCTTCCACGAGTTTTTTTTCTTTTCACTAGATTGCCGTTGTTTAGTCTTTAGTTTCATGAAAACTTTTTTCAGGATATTAATATAATTTTACTATAATAAGTTTTTTTCCAAGACAAAATAATAGAGAGTTTTTGTCTGGAGTCTCTTCCGATGAATCTGTCTGATTGTTGCTCTTCATGTAAACATTTTCAGTCAAGTCTCTTGCGGCTTTTCATATTATTATTAAGGATATGATCCAGTTTAGCGAACAAACAACGGAGCAAAGGGAAAACATTTTCAATAAAATTGAAGCTCTTTGTAAAGGAATTAAAGACTGTTGTAAGCGGAAGACTCCTAAACGACCGCCTTCAAATAATCCCGTAAATTTTCTATATTGCTTGCAAATTCTTCGCACAGTTGCAGGGCGTGAAATTGCGCCTAATACAGGCGCCAATACGACTAAATTTTTCACTTTGGCGACCAAATCCTGAAAATTAGTCGCCAAATGGCGACTAAAATGCTTCATCAGGACCTTCCCTAGAGATATAGTGAATTAAAAGATACATCCGCGGCAAACTTCCTGGTTAAGTTTGTTTCAAAAACGCTGCACATGCATCTCGGTCGATAACTACACGCCTTGAACGTTGTATATCATCCATCCTACTGTCCACTTTGCAGCATGTTAAAGATCTTTTTTCTAGCTTAATTTTGGAGGGTCTTTCTAGAAAGCTGACAGCGTAAAAAAAGGTTTCGTTTATCTTTAAAAATGGCGACCAACTTTTTTCGAATTGGCTACCACTTTGAAAAATTTGGGAACCAAGTGGCTATCAGAGAAAAACTTCATTTCACACCCTGGGGTTGTTGTCTTCTTGCGTGGGCCTTAATGCACTTAGATTCTCTACATCAAATTGTATCCAGATGTTTCTGGCAATACAAGAGAAAAATGCTTTAATAGATTGTAACGACAATTCAATTACACCAGTTTTCCACAAGTTAAGAAAAATCTATGTGCTGAAAGCTAAATTTACTACAAAACATTCGAAATTTCAAAATATGTAAATACAGTTGATCATTCTCTCCTTGTGCAGAACAGGGCCACGAAGGAAAATATATTCACATAAAGTACACGTGAATGCCTGTAGGGAGTGAATATATTTGATTTATCCTTCTCAAATTTCCGTGACTTTTGAATGCACAATTTTAGTTTCATTGTAGCTTTTCGCAAACCAAAAGGAGTATTCTGAGTATTTTCACTTTTTCATCAAGCCTCTGGCTGAATTTTTGACTGATTATTGAGCCAACTATTGACCGAGATTGTTCAGTTCATAAAATGTCTAATATCCAGTCCAGTCATAGTTATCTCAAACGTTTTTCTACAGGGCTCTTGCCAACTGTCACAATTGAATAAAAAACTTCGTATTTTAACCTTTATTGCAGCTCAACTAAAAAGACATTTCTTTACTTAGATTTTACTTTAAGGAATTTGTTGCTCAAGATCTAGCTAACTCTGACCACAAACTAGTTTGATGCCTTCCTTTTCAGCTTTTTTAGGATGGCAAAACGGACTCATATCCCTTTACAACCTAACATCAGTGTGCATATTCTCCATACTGTTCTCTATACATTTCCTGAGGTGAATTTATTTCACAGTCAAGAGCTCCAATAGTTGGTGATCATTTCCTTTATTCTCCTGACCACTGACTTAATGTGTGACTCAGCGGTGGTATTGTGAGGAGAAATTAGCTGCTAGTCACTTTCAGGGGTGAAAAGGTTTCTGGGATATCAGATAACCTCCAATCATTGCCTAGCAACCCCAAGTATTCTTTTTTTTTAAGCTATGTCAATTCTCCAGTTAACACAAACTTTTTTTTACGACGCTTTATAACTTTCTTCTGAAATTCTTTTTAGACTACAATGCGCTACGTCAGATAACAATACTGACGAAAGAGGAAGGCCATGTCCTTCAAGGACAGGAGGTAAGATAAGTCTTAGAGATGTTTCATTCACTGATTACAGTAATTTCATTCAGAAAATTTCACTCAAAACCAATTTAATAGGCTTAAATCCAATACGAAAATTACATTTTGTTATACTCACACCTTTCTGCGAACGTCTCTTTAAGAAAACTGGACGCAGTTCGGAATTTGACAACGAGAGGTAGCCAAGCATAAATTGCGCCAAATTGAGGATGGTTATCAAGGTTTCGCGGTGTGGACTTACTATTGAATTTAAGATACCACACCCAACAATCACACTGACCCCTCCCCCCCCCTTCTCCACCCCCACCCTCACCCCCTGCCCTTAGATCAGGCGTATAAATGGGGGCTGCGTTAAGTAACTTGGTGGGAAGACTCGCCAAAATGCTTGGAGTAACCTTATTAGGAACAAGTATCCCATCCACGATTTAGGTGGATTTAACATTGCGCTGGTCGCTTTGTGGCAACCATAAGCCACGTAAGTGATTGACAGTAAGTAAAGATTGCTCCTCCTATTTTGTTTTCAAACAGGCAGAACAGGTCTTTTAAAGAATAAGCGAAAAGGAGATAGAACTACTTCAACAAGTAAGCCTTCCACCAAACCGACACTTGATAGAAAGTCCAGCCAAGGCATGGAAAACCTCAACGCTCAAATGACGTTGAGCCAAAAAGGCTCAAATCGAAAACGGACAACCATCTACACTCACTGGGGAAAGTCAAAATGCGATGACGAATCAGATATATACACTGTATATTCAGGTCAGTTAACGGCTCTTCTGTTTGCTTTATTCACCGAACCAGATGTAAATCCCCATCGTCCCCAATTTCAAGCCTCTTACTTCCACAAATGATAGATGGCTACCTTTTCTTTAACACATCAATGCTTTGTCCGGAAAACAGGAGATCAGAACAGAATAGCTTATTAGCTTAAGGTTTTTTTTTCTTACCGAAAAATAATCAGTTGTGGTCATCTTACTCAAACACTTGATTTGATTAATAATGACCGACATGAACAGTTCACACCCAAACATCAGTATGCATATTCTCCATACTGTTCAACATACATTTCCTAAGGTGCTGACAAGGAGAATTTGCTAAGAAATTAAGAGCTTCTTCTGGTGGTAATCATCTCCTTTATTCTTGTTTCGGAGTCCTACTATATGGAGAAATTAGATCCTGGTCACTCTGAGTGGTCAAAGAACATTTTTTCTGTCCATTTTTCGTTAAAGATGCTACCCATAAATTCTCCATCTACAACACGTCAGTATTAAAAAAAAAATTGTGACAATGTCAGATTTTATGATGTTTTTTCATGAATTTGGATTTGCAGACGTTTTCTTTATGCCGGATTCCACATCTAAAAACAAGGTTCAGGTTATATTCCTTTGTGTCTGTTTTTTTGCATACAAGATAGTAACCGCACACATCAGGCTTCGGCTTGTCCACTCTGAAAAAAAAAAGTATCGTCTGATTTTTTTTCTAGTTATGGTCTTTTCCTATGCCCCAGTCCGTCTTCAAGACCAGGTACCGAGATAAAGTATTAACATTTATTGAAATGTTTTATCGTATAGGAAGAGTGGCTACCTTGCATTCACAAACCAATCCTGCCGTTGGTTCAGAATATATGTGTGTACCTGACAGCTTTGAATATACTGATACAAGACACATGACAAGTGGACTGTACTTATCACCCGTTCGATTCGGCACGAATATGAGCGTTTTCAGACCGTTTAATGAGGAAAATTGCAATCAGTATCCAAGTAAATGCGAGTGGTTCAGGGAACTCGATCCAAGTTACTTCAGAGAACTCCAAATGTTCCAGGTTCCTTGCGCAGTGTGCAGGCACGAAAAACGTTCAGCCACACTCGTCACTCCGGGACGCAATACGTGTTACCCACTCTGGTTTAAAATGTATCACGGAGTTTTAATGACAAAACAGGGTGGAATTGCAAGATCGGAGCACATCTGTGTCGACTACGACGCGGATGGTATACCTGGTACCAATACCACTGATACAAACGGCCCGTTTATACAGTTTGTTGCGTACAAGTGCAATAAATCTTACTGTCCTCAGAACACGGACATTCCGAAAGCGTTGACATGCGTTGTGTGCACAATCTAAACATAACATAATTAGTGGTTCAGATACGTAACACTTAGAATCTCGGCTTCGTTTGGAAATTTTCAACGCCATCGCCCTTAGTGCAACAACAACAAAAGACAAATCGTAAGGAGGTCATTGGTGAAAGGAGTTAGCATGGCTTGGAAAAGAGTACATGAACAGATGTTGTCTTGGCATCCGGACATTAAGATGCAATTTTCGGCCCCAAAAAACCCTCCTGTGAGTTTGAAAAGCAAAGCTCAAGAAGGGCAAAGAAGTATATATTCATTTAGCCACAGCCGTGAGCGTATAGTTAAGTAACTTATAACTATACTTAGAAATTCCTATGATCAACAATTCGATTATGCGCCCGGGTTTTAATCGCGTGATAATTGGCGCAGGCATTGCCGGAAATAATATCCTCGCATAGTAATCAAGACCAAATAACATAGTTGTTTCATTATAAATCTACCAGTCGTTCAAACCTTGTCAAAAAATGGCTTATGTTTAAATTTTTATTTACAACTGCACTCTGTTAGGCCACGCACTTAACCCGCTATCTATCACGGATTAGATAGCGAGCGGCTAAGCCAATCAAATTGCAGTATTTGTAACAGAACGCTGGTATATGTATACTACTTTTGATTTGAAATGGAATGTTAGCCGACACAAGGAGAAACACATTACATGATTTAACTACTAAATATTTAAACGTGTCTTGTTCAGGACTCGTCATCCAACATTCACATAGCCAGCGGTAATAGGACTGCGTGGAGTCCAATTCTGTCCGTAATCATACTAGCGATTGACAAAATCGGATGATCGTGAAGCGGGAGTTCGATTTGTTAATCATTAGTATGATTACAGACAGAACTCGACGACGCGAATTCCTGATACCAATTAATCATAACTATCACAAAATTTAAGAAAGAAACTAGACATTTTGTTATAGTTTTGATTAAGTAAGCAATTATACAAGAGAGCTTTCTTTGACTCATTATTGAGCACTAGTGGAACCCCGATATTTCAGAAAGTTTAGACACCCCGGTATGGCGAACGGTGTCGGTGAAATATGGCGATAAGAATCAAGTTTCCGTCGAACAAACTAAGAAGGGAGATTCAGATTCGCTGTTCCTCAGGAACTAGGAAAGGAGGATGGTAATACGCTTTGCAGAAAATCATAACAACTGCAGAAAACTTCTTGCAATCGGTACAACGAATTACAGAAAGCTACTCCATAAAATGACATTCAATTTGGTTATGGGAGCAACGACATTTTCAGTCGGGACAAAGTGCGCATCCCCTGAAATTTAGGTGTAAATGCAATCCACAATTATCACAAGATCCCACTGAATTATTTCATTTACTTACTTTTTCCCTCGGACGGAGGATTTAGATGGTTCATTTTTGACATAAATAGCAGTTTAATTATTAGAGAGCTTTCCTTGAAATATATTAATTCATTCAAATACAGCTCATTCTTTTCTGGATGCCAATTCATAACTTCTACAATTTCCAAGCCTCTTTTTTAGATGTTTAAAATCCTCTTAGACGTGTATGTGTCAATAAATATTAAGACTCAGGCTTGTATAAACTGAAAATTTTGGATCACAAAGTGTATTATGAGAAATCTGGAAAGAGCAGATTGCCTCACTTAATAAAGAAATGCATTCGATTTCTCCGTTCCTCCTTGAAATTTATAGCTCCACCTTCTATGACGTAGCTCTTGTTTTGTCTCATAACAATGGCCAACGTTCCAGTAATCGTATTTAGTATGGAGATTTTCAGATGAAAAAAAAAAAGAAAAAAAATTCTGGATATTCCTTCAGATGAGATTTATCCTTGGTTGCGAAAGTTTTCCTTTCATTTCCGTGCACCAATCTCAGCAACAATTTCGAGGACGTGGACTATGTCACTATTGATATTTTCCTCTGTTTTACAACTCTTAATGAGCAGCAGCTCGAGGCGGCAAATGAGCAAATAAACTAATGAACAAGTTTCGCAGGGCAGGAGTTATAAAAAATTTTCTTGAATTGAATGAATGTATTATTATTCATCATATTCAGTAATCTAAACTAAATTTTAAGGATTACAGCCAGATCGAGGATTGCTATTATAAACTACTATACTTGCGAACATGCAAAAAGTGTCCATTCTAAAAAGTAGTTATGCTATTATTACGATTTCGATTTGCTGTATTTATTGTGCGTAACAGTGACTTTATAATCCGTACAAAAGAGATAGGAAGAAAACCACACTTCCTCTAACTGCCTTGGTTTTATCTGTGAAGCTTGGGCTAGAGTCAAATGTAAGCAAGTCTCTCAGTGTTTAGCGGCTGCAGTTTTTACGTCAACCCTTTTCATCCCGTACGTTAAAAATATGAACCTTCCCCTTTAAAAAAAAAAAAAAAAAAAATGACGGATGAATGATTCTGAGGAGTTAGTAAGTGATTGTGAGGAAATTTCTTTTCGACGTTACCTTGCTGGGGCCAGAGCCCGCAAGGGACGAATCGTGAGAGCCCCCAAGAGATTGGACATGTGACTTAGCTACCCCTCCCTAACATCGTTGAGTTATTGAAATGTTTTGGTTTTGGTTTGGTTCATTAACACACTCGATCTATTGTGTCGAAGGTTTCTCATGTAGTTCAACGAGTAAATCAGAAGAGGCTTACCAAATACACGTTGAATTTAACATACGTGAACGAAGCGGACCGGTCTTTTTCAACTGACTCAGTTAAAAAAACGATGAGGTAAGTTTGTCAGTCGATGTATATTGGGCAAAATCATTAAAGTGTGACAGATTGAGTTCACCGAAAAAATGTATTCAAAAACTTTCCCTTCGACAGTGTCAATGTTGTCGTGCGAGATGCTGAAGGCGGAAGTTAAAGTATAAAACCTATTTCTGTTCACACGTTTGTGATCCACAGAACTTCTTCGGGTACTCCTCAAGAGTAGATTCATTAAAAAAAACATACAGCGGTAAATGAAATTTTTTATTTCACCTACAGAGATATGCACGTTTATAGTTAAAAACCTTGACTTTATCATTGACGACAAGCAGAGAGCACAGAGTTCCCTTTCAGAGAGAAACAGAGTTTAGTCTGAGCCCGCGATGAAAAGCAATACATTTCACACTCGAATGACCATGAACACATGTCTTTGCCTCACTCGCGACTTTCTTTTGTTTAGTCGCAATTTAGACAGCAGACAGAACGAAACGTTCTCATCAATATCTGACTCTGTTTGAATGCATACAAGAAAGTATGTCTCTCGGTACAGGCAGCAAAGATCATTGGAGCGAGAGAGAGAGGTATACGATCAGGGAAAGATGCAAGTTTATGTTTAACAACGAGCTCTTAAGCGATGTGAAGTTTGTTGTGCCAGACCCTGAGGGCGGAAGTGAAAGTATGAAGACGATTCCAGCTCACAAGCTCGTGTTGGCGATCAGTAGCCCAGTATTTTACGCCATGTTCTTCGGTGAATTAGCAGAGACGACGAATTCCATCAACCCCTCTGACTGCGAGTATCCAAGCTTGCTGGAGTTGTTTCGCTTCATTTACAGCGATGAAGTGAACTTGAACGCCGACAATGTCATGCATGTGTTGTATTTAGCGAAGAAATATATGCTTCCTTCTCTTGCTGACCAGTGCACAGATTTCTTAGGAAAAAATCTTGATGCATCAAATGTGTTTCATGTCCTGCCAGACGCACAGACTTACGAAGAGAAAAATCTGGTGGATAAATGCTGGGAAGTGATCGATGAACATGGAGACGAAGCTATGAAATCGGATGCTTTCACAACAATCGCAAAATCTCTACTAGAGGAATTAGTGGAGAGAGAGTCTTTGAATGTTGCAGAAGTGGAGTTATTTAAAGCTGTGGACTGCTGGGCCAGAAGAGAATGTGAAAAGAAGAACCTGGCAGTAGAAGGGTCTGTGAAAAGGAAAATCCTTGGAGAAAGGGTTGTTGCAAATATTCGCTTCCCGGTCATGGAACAGAAAGAGTTCGCAGAGGTTGTTCTTGACTGTGAGATATTGACCCCTAAAGAAGCTTACGACATAATGAAGTACTTTAATGGCGTGCTTCCTAATCCAGTTGGATTTCTTGAAACGAAAAGAAGTGGGGGAAACTCACGAATAAGCATGTACACAGCATTAAGATTCGGGCTGAAAGATCCCGCCGGCCATGGTGAGCTCTTCTCAAGCGATCATATGAGACTTTCGGTTAACGAGACCATTGAACTTCGAGCCGTTCGCCTATTTGGTAGTGAAAACAATGAATATAAGGTATCTCTGGCAGTCGCGGATATCAATTATCATTTTTTGGCTTCTATGACAGACATTTTTACATCTATGCCCATGCAGAGTGACATGGGTAACTATCACGGCATTCGTGTTATATTTAATCCTAGTCTTACTTTGCAAGCAGATACAGAGTACTTTTTCAACGCCACTCTTGAAGGTCCGCCAACCTGGTATGCAGCAGATGGAGTCTCCCACAAAGAACATGATGACCTTACCATCTCTTTTTTTAGTGATCTTTCAGGAGGACCATTTGCTGAGTTGGAGTATAGATTAAAGTAAATTGCACTCGTTAAAGTTGCAGCGTGTGCGAACTTGTATATATATTCATAGAAGGTTTCTTTTATCGTACAAATCAGACATGAAAAAACATGCTGTGAATGAGTAGAGTTAAAAACAAAACTATTAATTTATGTAATGTCATCTTGTTACCCCAACAGTGGTTACCTTGAAGGTGAGCAAAAAAAATGTCAATGTTTATTTGAAAAGTTAGAATAAAGTCGAAATTAACTGATATAATAACAACCTGTTGTTAAGCTTCATTTCAGGCTGAAGTACTCTGCTTAAATCTCCAACGACTTTTGCTCATAGTATAATATGCCAAAAGGGTCTGGAAGGTATCCAGATATGAACGTATCTAGAGTCTTTCCCTGAAGTCTCAAATAATTTAGCGATCACAATGATTACAAAATAAATCCTAATCGTAGGACTAAAATTTTTGTTGTAAATCACGTAGGAAGGGGAAACAGCACGAAAACAAGCTTCGAACTAATGAATTACTTAATATTAAGCATGCGACAAGTGCCAAGAAACGATTTACTCAGTTTATATGTTAGAGTAGAGTAGGGCACTTTTGTAGGCTTGTAGCCAAACTTGCTGTGTTGCCTTATGCACCTTGTTTGATTCATTAATGCGGTCAATTTTGTTGATGCCATCGCTCTTATTAGAGACCTTCCTCCATTGCTTAGTCATGCAAACGATGTTTTCTTGATAGAGCCGAAGTTATGGTATTGACATCAGTTGCTTTAAGTGAAAAATGTTTTGGAAAATTTCAAGGTATGATTACAACAGCCACGAGATCGATGAAATACCAACAAGGTTTTTTAGTGAAATTCTGAAAAGACTGACTTGATTATCACCACTTCTGTAAGAAGTTCCTACTTAAATCAGAACGGTTGGGAGTCAACTCTCGTTCCTTCAAATCCGTTATCCCTTACTTATTGGAAGGAAGATCAATTGAGAGGAAACTTCTTTAGAGGACTCTCACCACAATTTATTGACTTGCACTTGGTGAGTTTTGTAGTAACTTATACCACAAATTGTCAATGAAGCAGGGTTACTATTTGACCAGCTGTGTTTTTGTTAACTAAACAGTTCAGACACTCATTTCCCTCTTAAAAAAAAGGTCTCAGTTTTTGATCGAAGAGATACTCATATGAGTGTGTGAAGTGAGTCAAGACTCAAATGAATCTTTACTTCCGGGTGCATATTGAAACTAAAATATTTCGTGTAAACGACATTGACCATATGCAAGCCTCGTTTTGGCTGTGTTGAACGCCTGCTTAATGTCACAGAATCCTGAGAACTCATACACAGCGCGTGTGACATTTTTTTGATCAAAAGGATCTTCGATTCGGATGTAAGGACGAGTCCACTTTTTATCAATAGGTACTCTTCTTGGGCCGGCAAGACGAACAGATAATACTTGGTGCCAGTCGAAGTTACAATAAAAATTGAAAAATCCCACAAGCAGCTCCCCAAGGGTTGCTGTGTTAGCTGAATTATACGAAGTAACAACCGCTGGGAGAGAGTCGCTCATCAGTTTTTCTGCAGTAATGCTGGCGGTTGCAGTAGTGGTAAAGTGTATTGGATTCAAATCCTGTAGGGAATGAAGGACAGGCGGACTACAGCCTCTCTGTAAATAGTAAATAACCAACAGCACTACGGCAAAACCTTTTTGAGAGAAAGAAAAAGGAAACTGAAATAAGACATGCAATTTTTAACAAGGATATTTAAGAAGCCAGCCTTAATTAACCCAGCTTTCTTAAAGCTATGTGATCTTTCAAAGTATCTTAATCTTACTGTAGTCGCGGTAAAATAAGACTTCTTAAGCTTGTGGACCAACGTGATAAGACCGCCGTTAGTGGGAAAGGAGAAATATGGTGGTGAAATTGTAAGTGGTAAATTCTACTGTTGAGTAATTGCGTATCATACTGAACGAAGAACTAATAGAATAAATGTATTGCGAGAGATGTGAATTCTTTTGAGTTTTCGTTTTGTTAGTACCGTAATAAAAACGTGCTATTAGTAGTGTGAACCATCTTTAGGTATTGTCAAGAGAAAATTATGGGAATTCTCTTGGTATTGTGTAATAGTGATGATAATGAAATTAATAATAATTTTAATAATAACGCAGGCCTCAAGATGGTGAATCAGAGCGGTGATTAACAACAACATCCACAATTATCCCAAAATAATTCTCCTGGTAAGCAGTGACGTTACTAACCAGAAAGCTTGTGGTAGTGCGCTCCAGTGATTCCTGATTCTTGCGCCCAGTGCTTGACGGTCACCACTAACGGAGTGACTCTGGGATCCATTCTACCATAACACTTTTGCAAATATGTGTTAAATATGGAATTCTGGATATCAACACTGATATCTCCTTCAAGTCCTTCGTGGCGGTCTTTGAGTTTTAATATGGGAACAACTGCAGAACTGATCAGCTGAAATTGTATCAAACGATGCGTTAAATTTCTAAGCCGTCCAAAGAGGAAGAAGATAGGCTTTCTAACCGCATCAAAAATGGACTAAAATGCATTGAAAAGTTTAAACTGAATGTTAACAGTTTTACTCAATATGACATTGACGCAAATCGAGCTGGTAAGAGTGTTTCATTTTCATAGCCCCGATTGATAAGCATCTGCTCTTACCTTGTGCATTACACGCATTCGCAATGGCACTATACAATGCACACCGAACTTGCACCATAACGGTTCAATGATCATAAAGAAAGAAAAGGTATCAATAATCGCATTTTCAAGATCAAAGAATCCTCAGCAAGACCGAATTCAAAGAGATATGTCTTCCTTAACCAGGCTGTATACCTCTACGACGTGTCCTCGAACAAATCGCTTTTAATTTAGTTTCAAGATTAGAAAACTTGCCAAGAAAAGCAAAGAGGTCTAAGTGACCCGCTAGCTTTCTCATTCAATGACTATTCTGCCATTTTCACTTGACACTTAATAAGACCGCTTTGTCGAAGACGCACGAAAACTATGACGCACTTCATAACTTAAACCGCAATTTTTACGTTCCCTTGGTGAAAATATATCGTGAAAATGTATCGTATATTAAAACGAGTACATACTGGCGCTAGACCACCGAGGTGTGGCTTCCAACGTGAGAGCAAGATCCAAGAAAAAGGCGCGCGTCGAATACTCGCGAGTTTGTAATTTCACTCGAACTTTCTATTATGTATATTTTGCTTCTTGCCCTCGTTCTATGTGAATACTTCGATGTGCTATGGCAGCTTAAACGATAGAAAAGCTTTAGGTACCTCAAGATTCAAGTCAAAAACAGAGAGAAAGAATTGAAGTTCCCAAGAAGGAAATTTAATGCAAATAACTAGGAAATCAGTGAAAGTCACATCATGCGAGAAATGATACCCGGAAACTAACAAAAACTTAAAGGTTGACTTGGTGTGAAGTACATTGAATCGATCGCTTTGAAATGAGAGTTAGTGTCTATTGAGCCTACAATGAAATAGCACTTTGTTCAAGCAATTGCAAAAACCTGACTTGAAATGATTGCACATCATTGTTGCAAGTGATGGAATTGTGAGAGAATCAGCATGATGTCGTTGTCATAAATCGTAATATTTCAGTAGTTAAAACTAATAGGATTTCTTTCACTGAAATTAGCTCGCGAGTTTATAAACTGGTTAAGTTTCCTAAAGATCTCCCTTGCATGATTTGGAAAGGATTTTGTTAAGACGAAGTACGTAAGTTCACGAGTTAAATATTGTCAGCTTTGGTCAAAAGCAAGTCCAAACATGAAGTATCGAAAGTCACGGCGTGATAATCTTAATCCTAAAAGAAGACTCCAATTTACCTCCAACTGGTACATCGCATATAAAACGACAATATTAACATGTATAAATGCTTACAAGCAGGACAGAACTATGCAAGACATTGCTGATAGCTAAAAAATGATGATTAATGACTGTATATACATACAAGTACCCCAAAAAACACAAATCTGATCGACTGGAAATTTTACCTCAGTATTTATTGACGTTCTTGCGATCAAGGCATCTCGTATTCGACTCAGAATCTGCAGTCCCGACTCAAATCCGTAGAACGGTGGGCTATCCGTCCGAATGATGGTCAAGTCGACATCGCAACCCTCGATTGCAAAGCTAGTTGTTGAAGACCCAACCAAAATAAGTTTTCGATTTGGATAGATTCGTTCTATGTTTTGTTCTAGAACTTCGCACCATCTTTTCTTCTTTCTTGTGGTTGCGTTACTTTCCTTGACAGATTCGCACTTCTGAATGATATCGTGAGTAAGCAAATCTCGTGTGCGTGCGAATGCAAATGCTGCCATACTTGTTATGAAGTGAACAATTAATTCCCGGAACCAAGGATGAATCTTTCCCGGAACTAGCAGTACTCAGCGGGGTATAGACAGTCGGTGAGTGGATTTGCCGGGGATGGGAGGCTAGAGTGTAAAATTCCAAATTCGCTATGGACTAGACATATATGGGGTCTTTCATATTTCTTATTGTTAGACCTAACTTAGACCTAAACGGCGACGCTTCCTAAGGAACAAACAACTATTACAAATAACGATAACAACTTGAAGGAGCAACCAATCTGCATTGAGAATTTTGTAAATATTGTCGATTTGAAATCCTTCCTTCATAGAAGGAAACCGCAAAGTATGATTCTGCTGAGTAAATTTATTTGCTTTTGAAAGTATAAAGCACACGGTTGTACCGATTACATTTGTAGTTATTTTTATATATATTAGATTTATTTAGAATTTCACATAGACACAACACTGTTTTGATGGCTTGCAACACCGCTGGATGTTGCGTAGAAAGGTAACACAAAATCGAGGCTCACCAAAGCCATCAATAATATGGCGGCCGTTTATGTTGGGCCCTGAAAGAAGTGTCTGTCTTTCAGCATGGATTTTGAATTCAAACTGAAAACGAATGAGCAGAGGGAAAGAGTAGAGGATAAATTTGATTTTGAAGGCTGCAAAGTAGGTCGAGGAACTTATGGGCATGTTTACAAAGCTAAACAAAAAGATTGGTAAGAACAAAAATTATGTCATTTGCATTCGAGGCTGTTTACATCAAATCGTTATTTTACAGTTGTCTTATTGGTTTTGTTTGCTTTTCTTGCTAGTCCAAATGGGAAATATTTCGCCCTTAAGCAGATCGAAGGAACTGGGATCTCGATGTCAGCTTGCCGCGAGATAGCAGTGAGTAAAAGAAATTTATGTTGTCGGCAAATCAGTGAAATCACAAATTCGAAGTAATCGAGCGCATGTGTTCATGAACCAGTTTGGGTTTAATTTTTCCTTTTCCAAAATTTCAAAACTGAATATCAGCTATCAAATTTTTGTAATCAACCCTTCTGATAATGCTTTCATGTATTTTTTATTCAGCTTCTCCGAGAGTTGAAGCATCCGAATGTGATTGCATTGCAACGCGTTTTCCTTTCCCATGCCGATAGAAAAGTTTGGCTTCTTTTTGATTTTGCAGAGCACGATCTGTGGGTGAGTTTTAAACCCTTTTTTTTAGCTTTGAATTTGTTTAACAAATATTTGTCAACATACAGCTGTTGGCTTGGCTGTTATTTGATTACATGTAGCTCATAACCCAGTGTTTTCCTTACTTTAAGGACAACAGTTACACTGAAAAATGAATTTTTAAACTGGTAGAGCAATCCTTTATCGGCTGATTTTTCACGAATTCCAAGTGATTTTAGGTAGTACCAAGAGCGGGGTAAATTTTACAAGTTTTTTTACATGACATTTACAGTTTGAAATTGTTGCCATTAATGCGCTATATACCATGTTAGTCTCAGAGAATGCAAAAAATTGTATGCTTTTGATTGTGTGTCAAACTGTTGTATTTTTTTTTTCATCTTTTCCCAAAGCACATCATCAAATATCATAGAGCATCCAAAGCCCAAAAGAAGGCTGTTCCTGTTCCTAAAGGGATGGTTAAGTCTTTGCTTTATCAGATCTTGGATGGCATCCATTATCTTCATTCTAACTGGGTTCTGCATAGAGACTTGGTAACTATCTATAATGAGAACATCTCATTGCATACTGTTAACCTTTAACTCCCAAGACCCAATCTTAATTCTCCCTTCCAGCTGCTACATATTTCCTTGTGAATTAGTTCAGAGAATTTGTTGTTGGATCAAGACAACAACTTCAACCTGATAAGTTTGAGAATTCTCATAACTTTTTTGTTGTATTATGTATGGATATGATTAGGAGAAGTTACTTTTTAATCACTTCTGGGAGTTAAAGGGTTAAGTACAAGCGTGTTTTGCAGTAAATTACATGCAATTTTGTGGTAAAATCTTGTATTAACATACATTATCTGGCCCAAAGGAAAATAAAATTTGATTTTTCCATTAGTGGGTATTACAACCTCAAACATTTCACTCACTTGACTTGAAAGAAGAAATACACAGCGGTGAAAATGTTTCAGTTAACCCTTTAACTCCCAGATCAAATTTGTAATTCTCCTTACTCCCAACCATACAATTCTTACAATGTTAGTTCAGAGAATTTAGTATTGGATCAACTAATTATCCCTAAATTTATATTTTTCTTTATTCCCATCACTTATTGTACAATATTGTAAGGAAAAATTCTGTCTTGGTCACTCATGGGAGTTATAGGGTTAAAAGTTGTTCTTAGTTTCAAACATTTCAGATCAGTCAGACTGATGGTGATATTTTTTCCTTCTTGAAAATTTAACCGCTTTTTATTTGATAGAATAACAAGTAACAAACCTAATCTATCATAGGCATGCCCCATGTTAAGGATAAATGCCTGTTGTTTTCAGTGATATGCATATGCAAGCATATGTTTTTAAGATTGCTTTTCAAGGAGCACATATGGCAGGATATTGACCAGGAAGGGAATGTGAATATTCACTGACTTGCCAAAGTCTTATTTAAGTCTATTATTTAAAGGAAACATCCGCTAGGATATAAGCACAGCTGGTTTAGATCTAGATCAAGCTGTCATTTGTTTTTTTATTTTTTTCCTTTGTTCACTGTTTTAGAAACCAGCTAATATCCTTGTTATGGGTGAGGGGCCAGAAAAGGGAAGAGTGAAGATTGGTGAGTAGAAATGGATCAATATCAGTATCTGGGTAACTGCCCACCTACCCCTCCCCTAACCCAACATTAACCCTGACTTGTTGTCAATTGACTGTTGTTGAGTTAGGGGAGGGGTAGGTGGGCAGTTGCCCAGATACTGATATTGATCTGTAGAAACTTTGGTGATGTACATTGATTTTTATAGAAAATTGATTTTACAAATCATTAGACAGTTGTTAACCATTCAAGGGAGGAATTTCAAGGTATAAACATGTTGCTCTGGCAAATGTTTTTGTGATATTTAGTGATGTACATGTAAGTTCACAAAGGAAGCTCATAAAAAAAAAAAAAAAAATAAAATCACCAAAGCTTTTCATGAATTCAAAAGAAAAAAATTCATAGTAGATAAAATTGCTCACCAGTACAACTTTGTTATTGGCATTTAACCATAAAAGTCCAACTAGATTCATTATGATCCATCAAATACTTTTGCTTGTGCATGATTGGTTTAAATGCAGCACATACATCTTGCATATTTTTGCACCAAACAGAGGCTATTGTTTATTTATCTATTTGCGTGTTATTTCATCAGCTGACATGGGATTTGCCAGGCTGTTCAATGCTCCATTAAAACCACTTGCTGATCTGGATCCAGTAGTGGTTACATTCTGGTACAGAGCCCCTGAGTTACTGCTTGGTGCTAGACATTACACAAAAGCTATAGGTATGCAAAATATAGCTGTGGATGAAAGTTACCAATGTTTCTATTTGATTGAAATATTTTGGAACACTTTAGAACCTTTTTTACAATATGTGGTGGCTTAAAGTGAGTTGAGGCAAGAACCTTTTTTTATTTGATTCTTGACTCACCACTGTTGGAGGTAATCAAATGATTGAGGGTACCTTTGATTAAATAAAATTGTCGAAAATTTAAAAAAATGCATCAGCTTTTAGGGCATGTGCAGTTTGTAGTATTTATTGGGGGAGAAATCATTTTTGTGTGTAACTACTTGTAGATTTTCTTCTCACTGATGACCATTTCACTTCAAGTTTCTCCATTTAATTTCAAGTTTCTTCATAATTATGTTGAATTAATTGATTTGCTCCTAGCCTGTAAGGGTGTTAAGGTATAATTATAGAATTGATGAGCATAACATGTAGCATCTTGGGTTTGCTGTGCACTTGTAAATGGAATTCTGTGCCATTTGGCAAGTCTATAAGTACATGTGTCTTGTTATCATGCATGGACTAGATATTGCACATGTAATTATACCATCAAGCTCTTTCCATTGCACTCTTTCTCCAGATATATGGGCAATAGGATGTATTTTTGCTGAGTTGTTGACATGTGAACCAATATTCCATTGTCGCCAAGAAGATATCAAGACAAGCAATCCATATCACCATGAACAGCTGGATAGAATTTTTAACGTGATGGGATTTCCACAAGGTGAGATCTTCATGAAGGGGCAAGTTCTTTCTGGTCAGATCTGACCTAGTGTCATGCCCATAACATTCAGACCTGTGTGTACATGAAATTCCAAATGATCACTTTGTAATTTTTTTCCTTCAGAAAAAGACTGGGAGGACATTAGAAAAATGCCAGAACATGGTACACTGCAAAAAGACTTCAGAAAAGCTAAGTAAGGATGGTGTTCATTTTAACTGATTATTATGCAATATTATGCAAGTCATGAGTTATTCTTGGTCAATCCAGCATGGTATATGTAATGGTAATAAACCCTAAGCAATTACTGAGTGGAGTCCAATTCAGTCTGTAATCTTACGAGTGATTGACAAAATCAGGCAACTGCACAGCAGGAGTCTGATTCATTCATCATGAGTATGATTACAGACCAAATTGGACAACACAGCATCTTATTATCACTAAATCATAAAAATTGAAATTTCTGTGAAAAGAAGAATAGCCAAGTTGTGAAAGAAAGCGAAAATTTGCATTAAAAGACTAACAAAGGAGGCCGGGGTAGTTTTTTAAATGGTTGTGATTGGTTGATTCAAACTGCAACCTTGAATGAGATTGGTTGATTTAAACAGTACAACAACTTTGAGTGTGATTGGCTCATTGAACTGTCCAATAACTGTCTGATAACAACCTGGCAAGTGAATAAGTGGAAAATAGGAGTTTTTTTAACCAGTCGCAATCGAGGAAATTGTAATATTTTTTTATCAGAGAAGATATGCTATATTTGAACCACAAGAAGAAGCTCCATGGACTAGTTTAAGTGTTTGGTTCTTTATTTGTATGCAAAATTTATTACCGTAACCGTACATCAAGTACACCGCTTTTCCTAGCACCAAGTATTAGGACTATCAGTTAAGTGTTTTTATTGTTGCTGTTGTTTTTTTTTTCCAGTTATGTCAATGCAAGTCTATGGAAATATATGGAGAAACACAAAGTCAAACAAGAAAGTAGAGCCTTTCAACTGGTAAGACGTTAACGTCTTTACTGTTTGGTATCCTGTACGCACAGACTGCTTTAGAGGTTATAACTGACACTTTTCTATGTACGCGAGATGCTGTTGCAACTTTTATTATTCTCCAAGCTGCTCAGGTGCTGCATGTATGTGTGTGTCATTAAGTTACTTGTAAATATTATGTGATAACTACGTGAAGGTGTGGAGATAACATGTATCCTAATGTTGCTGGAAGAAGAGGAGCTGTTGTTTCCTTTATGTATATCTTGCAGTGAAGGTGGCTGTCAGGAAAGAAGTTAGCTTAATGAGCCTACAGTATCGCTCACGTATACGTTAACCGAAAAACGTGAATTAAACGCGCAAAAAACGGGCATGCAATTGCGAATAAAAAAAAATCGTGCGCGTCAAAAAATCGCACGTGCGCGCACGACTTTGAGACATCAGCCTCATTAGTGTGTATGAGGTAGTTTTTTTGTTTTTCTATTGTTGGCGGTTTATTGTTTTAAAGAATAGGCTTCAATTCAATAGCACTAAAATACTACACGGCTACCAATGACAAGCAAACTTGTACATCTTTCACCAGGCTGCCATGATGGGTTTAGGGTCAGACTGGAAGGAGGGAGAAGTGGTTGGGTAATAGTAAAAGACGTTTCCTAAAATCTCACCCTCACCTCCCTGTTTTCCTCTTGCTTATCGTCCATTTTCTCAGTAAAAATGAAAAAATTTAAACGTAGAAATACGTCGCGAATCGCTCGCTCACCAAAATATTCCTACATTGCAGGGAAGTCTAGGATAAAAGTATAAAAATTTGACATTTTTATAATTTTACAGCTGGCTAAATTATTAGTAATGGACCCAAACAAAAGAATCACCTCCGACCAGGCTTTGCAAGACCCTTACTTCAAAGAAGAGCCGCTACCAACACCAGAGTAAGTACTTTAAACCCCTACGATAAGCCTCCGGGAGGTGGGGGCTGGTGTATTTCCGGGGCCCCATATCAAAGAGAAATGGGGTGCCAGAAAAAGATTTTCAACGGCTCAAATTTGGTTTACGAGTTTTCTTGTTAATTGTTGCAAATCTATTGTTAGTTATACAAGTAAGTCTTTCTTTGATATTCAAAACGCCCTTTGACACACACTTTCAAATATAAGTATGTCTTGTACTGAAAAGCTGCCTGTATAGTTTTAGTTCAGGTGAGAGGGGGCGGAAAGGGGCTTTTAGGAGAAGGGGGGTGGGGTCGGGGAGTAATTAGAATCTTCTTTTGCCCACCAGGTTGAATAAACAGTACATGTGATGCTGTCTTGATAATGTTTTTTGTGCTTTCAACCAATTGCGGCTAAACGTGTTCATTAGCTGCACTATTGAGGGAAAAGAAGAAGACAGTGAACTGAATGATAGGTTTGTTTGTCTCATTTTAGTGCCTTTGGAGGAATGACGATTCCTTATCCTAAACGAGAATTTCTTAATGATGATGATAGCGATTCCAAATCCAGCGCTGCAAAGGTAATGAAATTCTTTCATCTTATAACCTCGCATCAACCTTAGCAAAATTAATAGGATGCCGTTGTTAAAGGATAGGAATCATTGCATTATAACTTTTTGATCAGCACAAAATGACTAACTTTTGGTGATTAACTACACACGGAATTATCTTACGTGCAGCTTTCTTGATAAAAGACGAAGCTACATCTCGGTGATACTGTCGACATATTGAACCAACGTTGGGCATATGCTGGAAAGGGCTAATGCGCCTCGTTGTTTTGGCATCACAATATTGTCAGATGATTTTGTTGATAATCGTCCAATATTGAGCCAATATTTGAAGTGCATTAGCTTCTCTTTATCAAACGACTTGACTGTGCACTGATACCTTTACAAACCATTACCGAGAAAACTGAGTATTTTCGCGTATAGGGTACAATTATGCCCACATTAAGTGATATTCAGTTGGGGTCGCAGAATACTCACCTACTTAACAGTTGTGAAAGGTCATGTAAAGGTGTCAGACATCCCAAGTATGAGAAAGTGTTAGAAAAAATATACACCAAAATTGAGTAGTTCTTGACTGGTAATATTTCCATGCGTTTAAATTAGTACAAACCTTCCTTTTAGTCGTATATTTTCATAAATGTTAGTTGTGTTGATATACATGTCAACCTGACCGGCTGTTATATACTGTGGCGTATCCTGTATCAGCAGAACTTCATCCAAGTTACAGTTATCACACTGTGCAACAGGAACAATTGTAAAACAAGTTACCTGAGAAAATAACCCAGGAGTGATTTCCGCTAACATCACATCGTATAGTGTTTTTCAGTCTGCACATGCATGTAGCCACAACTCACTCTAACAAATCACATTCCCTTCCCCACATTGACAGTAGCAGGCCAGTATTAGACGAGGTACACAGTGAAAATTACAGTGTCTTTATCTCGCTAAGCCCGGCCAACATTTGAATTAACACTTCCAGACTAACCCAGGCAAGCAAGAGAACTCGGACACTAACGGACAGCCGAGTGCTAAAAGAGTGCGCGTTGTCTCTGCGCATACCAATGAACAGTTTCAGGTAATGTATGATGACGTCACTGTTTCAGTGATAGGGACTGTTCTCTGTGTTATCTGGGGGCACCACTGAATCGAGCCCCTGGGTTTCCTTGGCGCACGTGATTAGTAATTGAAACCTTCGCAGCTGCATTTTCATCACTGACACGCGTTTTTCTTTTAACCTATAACTTAAACATTGCAGATTAATAGCCGCACAGGTACATTTAAGAGCCTAATTTCGTTCTGATTGTCTGTATCGTTCTGATCGTCTGCATCGTTCTAGTCGTACATGGAAACACTTCCCCTCAGACAATCACTCAGGACAAACGGTGGGGAACGTCTACGTCTGGGGGAAGACTGAGGCGATCGGGACTCAGATATGAAAAAATCTGGAAGGGAAGGGTGTTTTCAGGAATACTTCCTTTTCTCGTCGTGGATTCATTGCTTAACTTTCTAATATTACGAGATAGCAGTGATGTTACAAAAAGAACAAAAGAAAGGAATAAAACAAGAAAAACCAATTAAACAACGAACAAACATTTCAAAACAAAAACAACTTCTAAAACAAAAATCAAACTTACAAGCAAACAATAACCAACAAGAATAGAACAGAAAAGTTAGTTATTTTCAGCAAGATTTTGGGGCACGCCTACAAAAGTTAAATTAAGTGGTAAAATCAATAAGAATATCGAAAAAAAGAAATTGATTCCTGATTCGATGTCAACAGCTTACCCTTGAACTTTGAAGGAGAACTCATCTGCTTTTGAAATGTACATTCAAACGCTAATGAAGCCAGCAACATGTAAACGCTGTATGAATACGCGCTGTGCGATGCATGTTGATCAATAATATTTGCAAGAAACTGTGTTAACCATCACGTGCTCTCTCAAACTCAACTATCTTTCCCTAGTTACACAAATACATGTTAAGACCTCAGCGTCGTTTGGTTCCAGCCTTATGTTTTCATTGAACAAATTCTCCAAACCTTTCTTTGTCTAATGGAACTGGTTTAGAGAATTTGATCGCATATGAATAAATTTGATTCCCGTTAATAGGCAGTTGTTTTTTTCTCGTGATTTTCATGATGGACTACGTTTTAGCAAGATGTCTTACGTAAAGTCTAGTCATTCTTATTGCTGTCAGGGTTGATTTATCCGTGTAGAACAACAGTAATTGTTGAATTATCAACCCGGTGTCCTTTTTCAGTTATTGCATGGTCAGTTATCCAAGTTGCATCTGTCAATATCCGATTATCTATGCCTGGGGTCCGTTTCTCGAAAGTCTCGATAACTTAACGGGCCCGAAGCCATATTTTGAAGTCAAAATTTAAGGATGGAGAAGCAGATTTTGGCACCCTTACCAGTCCATTTTGTTTCTTTAGCAGAGGATTTTATTGTATAATAAAAAACTTTTGAAAACACAATCTTGAATGAAAACAGAACAGTTGCGGGCTCTTGAAGTTACCGAACCTTAAGAAATGGGCCCCCCCTTAGGCTGGTGAAAGAGAGGTCCAGGAAAGTTAAAGCGAAATGCGCAGTTTTACGTTTATCTCAAGGTCAAGGTCATGTCATCAAAGGGTAGATCTTCTTTCTAACATGTTTTTCTTCGTGTTTTATTTGATTTCTTAGCAAAAGCAACAGTCGTTCCAATTCCAAGGACAAAATAATCAACAGACTCAGTCCTCTGGCGCCCAGCAGCCGAGTCACGTGGGGCGGTTCCTTCATCAGCAGTTTCCAACAAACAACACTCAGAACCAGTCTACCCCAACCAACAGGCAATTCTGAATTAACATAATGAATTGATTTCTTGGAGAGTTTTTTCTTGGTCATTTTCTACTTATAACTGTGCCGTTTGCTGTCAAAATGGGTCATATCTCTTACTTACTTCTTCTCCCTCAACTTACACTTGTTTATAAGGATCTTTAAAAAATATATTCCTGTTGCTCTGTACAAATGAATAAAATTGTTAAAGATGTTTGTTATGATTTGCAAAACCTCTTCTGCCTCAGTAATGATATAATAATCTTTTGTATTTTACACTCGAGAATAACTTGCTTTTGTAATCATTATCCTGCTTTAGCTATGATCAGTAAAACCGGATGTACATGGAAACCATGTGATATTTGTTCTAGCGTCAAATTATAACAAGAACCGCCAAATGAGATTTCAAAATGTGCGAAAAAATAATTTAAGGACGCCACCATTTTGAATCTTGTTCAGCAGCTTGGCCACTTCCGGGAGGCTTTGAAAAATATCATCCCTTATTTTATCTAGTAACGGTTAGTGTGCTCAATTCAGAGCCTTTTTTTCCCCCGGTTAAATTTTTAAATTTGTGGAATTACAGCACATGAAAGTGACATCGATAACTGTGCTTAGCCATACCTTAAGCTTAAAAATACCCAAAGGTGGTCAAAATCGACCAGTTAGCGACCAAGACATAATTTAAAAACTTGATACCCTTAAAAATCACAAGTATAACTTACCCTTTTGATGTTGGAGATGTCTCTCTCTCACTCACCCTTCAGCTGATAAAGATCACAAACACTTCGTGACCTCTTTCACCGCCTCGATGTTGACTTCACGAATCTCAAATTGTCTCTCGCAAAATGTTTAACTTGTCCAATTAACTCAAAAGCGAAAGGGACAAACTCACGAACCCTTTTGTTTGCAAGCATTAAGTGGGACAAAGCGTTTGTACTTTGTTTGAGTTCAAACAATGAAACAACAACAACAACAAACTGCATGCTTTTAAGCATGAGCATCTTTTTGAACATTTAAATTATTAGTAAACCATTCCAAAAGAAACAATACTTCAACCTAGTGCCCCAGATATGCCTCAAAACGCCTAAAAATAGATGATTTGCATACGGCCATCAAAGGCCTCGGCTAGTCCAACCAAAATGATCCACAGGGGCGAAGGCCAAGGAGGAGCAATTAAAAAAAACATACCTGGACGCAGGAAAAACACACTACGAAGCTCGTAACAAGGGATTCACACATGATACTAAAAAGAGGATCAGCACAATTTACGTAATTGAGAAACACTTTAGAAGGAAATAACAACACGGACCGACAAAGGAAAACCAGATCTTTTGCATGCCGTTATCTTTATACTGTTGTCATTCTGGATTGATGTCACTTTACCTTATGTGGTTCGCGATTCTGAATTATTTAAAAGCAAAGAAACAGAGGAATATCATCGCTGTTGAAATAACATCTGTCTTCTCCAAAATCTTCTCCGTTTTGCCGTGTTAGTCTCTCTTCAGCTCTCTATGCAAAAAGAAGTCTACAGGTCTGCAGATTTGTTAACAAGTTCCACCAATGCCTTGTGCTGTCCATATTCTCAAGGGTCGATGAAATAATAGCTCCTCAAACAGACAAATAAACAAGGAACTAACTGAGACAAAAAAAAGTTCCAAAATAGATATCCTTGGAATGTCATTCTTATCGGGCATCAACGGGAGACAGCAAAACTGTTTTAGGATATAAAACGCAACAGTTTTTTTTAATCAAATTCAAATTTTTTTAAAACAACCTATATTTTACTTGCTTAAATACAAATGAACGTACTTAATGAGAAAACTATTTCGTGCAGAATAGAAATAACTTCCAAAATTATAAAACTATATCTATTAACTGAATCTGACTTACGAAAAAAAATTACAACCTGTAAGAAACTTCAAAACATCTCGTGGATCTATCATTAAGGAAGTAGTTGGAGGATTACACTGACTGGCCACTGACAGAGCTTTACTCTTTGTCCAATAATCCTTATCTTTGGACTAAGGAAGAAAGTCTTCTCATGATAAATGCTAAGTGCTATCTTGAGACTTTGAATCACCAAAGAGAACACTTTTTTGCAGGATTCATAGGAGATCCTGGTTTACACTTGAATGCCTCTGCGAATTTATCGTAGTTGTGAAGAGGACCAAGGATCCTGAAAGAAGAAATAACAATAACAAAGGATTGAATAGTAAATATAAAATAAACAGAAACTTGTGTCGTGGATAAAATTTACTAACTCACCTGTACTTGGGGAAGGTATGTGAGTCTGTCTCAAGCTGGAGAAGGGCTGCCTTTTTCTTGTAAATACTACACCATGGCTAAAGAAAAATAAACATTACTTTTGTTAACTAGCTAAATACTTTCAATAGACTTAAAAATGCCAAAAAACAAAGCAGCTACAACAGTGAGCTTCTCAAAATTTTTTAACCTGTTAATCGTAGAAATTCTTTAAATACGATAACCTGATTTAAAAGGACACTTAAAGAATAATTATAGATCATTAATTTATTTTGTCCTACCTGAGCAAAACCGATGAAAAATAATTGTTCTTCTGTTAAACCAAGCCCAGGGAGGGCTCCCTCAGTGCCTTCTTTCGCGACCAACGATTTGTAAGCCTGACGGAAAAATTACATTGGGTAATTTTAGAGAAGAGGAACTGGAAATAGGTATAACGAGAGGAAACTTGACATGTTGAAAAAAATGAAAAATAATAATTAAAAAAATCAAGGAAACAAACAGGAAACAAAAACAAATCGAAAACAAAGATTAGAGAGCAAAGAAAAAATAAATAGAGACAAAAACAAACAAAACCTGTGAAAGACGGAAAAAGGTCTTAAAACAGCGAGAACGAAACAAACTGGATACCTCTGTAGATCACACGAGCTCGGCAAATGTGTTCACGATACATAACACAACAAAATTGCTGCAGATGTACTGATATTGAATAGTCCCTTTCAATGAGACACTCAAATTGAACATCTACGTGTTCTAGCCGCATTAATATTCAATCAATCAATCTCACATTAAAAGCCAATTTGATTCCGCCATTGTCGGCTATGTTTTCGTTCAGCGTCTGGTTGCCGTCGACCTGGCAAATGGTAAAGAAAACAAAAACTCGTTACCTCTTTACCTTGGTACCTTTGCAGCTACAGTTAGGAAAAGTCTTAAACGGTCCTCATGTCCTCAATAAGCAACAAAATTTCATTAACACGAAAATATTTTAGAAGTCCAATTTTTTTATGGGAGATGCACTCCATTGCAAAAACGTTAACCCTAAAATGCGTAAGCAATGAAGACGAAGGATGAGAGCCAACGGCTTTATACCAGAGGCCATTCACGCTTTCCTGAAAGAGGAGAATTGTAGTGACCATAGATTTTCATGAATAATTAAAAAGTAAAGCACTGATTTCAATCATTTGCCGTAAAACCATTTGGTCTCTTCGTTAAAAGATTATGCTCCACACGAGTCAACCTCTTTGCAAGCGAGTGTAAATGTACGACTTGTTTCCTACAGTCATTGGTCAGTGTCACCAGCTACACTCAAGAAGGCCCTAAAAGATCATTAAAATCTAAGCGTCACGTGACGTAACAAGTCATGTTACCTTCTTCCCAAAAACGTCAAATTGTGAATATTGTTCCGAAAGGCATTTTGTTCGTAATAAAAATCCCAAAAATGATTTAATCGACCACCAGTTGTTTAAATTGCCATCCTTGTCAAATAGTCTTCCTGTATGTAAACCAGAAAGAGCGGAGACACGTGTTACAATGAATTAAGGTGGTTCGTAACTTTTGACAAAAGTTAATCTTCTTCCTAAAACGATTATGGGAGGCATGTTAATATATTTCATTCTGTCAGTAGACGCGTTCACCTTTAGTCTGTGGACGCATCCACCTGTTTTCTGTGACCTTTAGGTCAAAAATATAAAATTCCATGACTCTCTCATTTCAAGAGGAATTTCCGCTGGCGAAGGCTGGGTGACATTCATATTTAACGAATGAATTTCCTGTTTGGCTGGTAAAAGTTCATCCTACTGTGTCAAAACAAAATTGCCAAAAAGAGACCGTCATTGGTGGGGGCAAAATAGACATCTTCACTTGGAGTTACATGTAGTATTTCAATAATCATTTAAAAGAAACGCATTGTAGCATAAAGTTCAGTATATAGGAAAATAAAGTTTAAAATAGGGAAGTTGTAAAATCGTTAAAAAGTTAGCAAAGCGACAATTGATAACGCACCTGAACCGTCGAATCCATGAGTGACCTCGTGCCCAATCACCATACCAATTCCACCATAGTTAAAATACCTGGAAACAAAAAACGAATATTACTTATTCCTTCCGTTTTCTTGTTTCTCTTTGGTTTTTTTTACGTAATCTCCATTGCGGCACTAATACGAGAGTTCCCAGAATGCAAGTCTCTTTGTTGTCCGCCATACAAATTATTTCGATTTCAGAATCAAACTCTAACGTTGTTGTCCACCATACAAATTATTTCGATTTCAGAATCAAACTCTAACGTTCTGAATGGAAATGTCTAATAACAAAACCTACAGCAATATGACTTACTTAGGGTACTTTGGATTGTAGAAAGGTGGTTGCAGAATGGCCGCCAGGAACACTGAACGGAAAAGTCAATAATCAGAGAGTGTAATATCTATCGTTATATAATATTCCCAGTTATAGTTAATGACTTGAAAGCTCTTAGGCATTCGATTAAGCCCCGACTAATTTAAATTCAGGACAGTCAAGGATACAGTTACAGGTGTAAGAATGAAAACAAACTAATGAAAAAATGACAAATGAATAAAGGGGGTAATTTTCTAAAGAAACTGTGGTGCTGCGTCGGTGGGAGAGTATAGCAGGTAACTTAGTGTTAACAACAAGGTTGAAACGTAAATTGGCCACCGTAAAGAGTAAAAAAGCTGACCTTACGAGCGTTAGCCCTTCATCAGAGCAATGAAAGTGAAAAAATGACAACCAAAAATGTGCCACAGGGACTCAAAGATGAACTAGGTCATTACTGAGTCACCGATGAAATGAAGAGTATAGGGTAGAAGTAACTTCAAACGTACAGCACAGCTTGGAAACTTACCGATTCGATTTTGCCTGGGTGAGTAGTAGCCATTCACTTGAGATGGACCCATGTACCATCTAAAATTGTAAAAAATAGTAACAGTAGTCAAGGCAAAGTATCACCGACATTAATCAAGTTTACCTGAAAGTAATTTGAAATCTCTTTGCCTTTGCAACCACTGTACTAGCCGGAGTAGCATGAAGCTCTTAGATACTGAGGAAACAGAGGTAAGAGGATGAAAGGGGAGGAATGGGGAGGAAAGGGGGCAAAAGGGA